ATGAAAAGGGCTATCCATCTAACGCTAGTAACTATAAACCTGTGAGTTTGACTTCCACCCTATGCAAAATTTTAGAGAAAGCATCGAAGCATTCCTCCAGACGATAGACCACCTCTCAATATTGTCCAAGAAAACTCCAGGAAGCCACAAAGTTCCCTAAACCAAGCTCTTTGCTTATCTAAAATTTGCCATACGTTACGAGTGGACCATCACATCAATCCGATGCTGGCATTTCTTAGCATATGACACTGCTAATAGGAATCTCATATGATACACATTACAACCATACCTCAACTCATCTCTCTTGAGGTTCTTGTACAATCTATTCTACAATGTACTTATTGAAGTGGTCCTATCAAACGCTTCTTCCTACCGCTTCCACCCATAAACTAACATCCTTCAAGGATCCATACCCCTCATCTATACTCAGCTTATATTAACCGGCTTCCGTAGCTTTTGCGACCGCAAGCGTTAACGATAAATATGTCTCCTGCTAAGGCTATGCCTCTACTTGAATATCCCTTATATGCATATGATGCTGTTTTCATTGCTGAACAATAGAAGATGGTTTATCTACTCAAGATATGTGTGAACGACTCAGCTTAGAGACAGGTTATAGATGGGATCCAACGACATGTGTTACCTTGAATAACCATCCCCAACCTGCTGAATACAGGCTTTACAGTCCGGCTCTCCCTTGACAACGATTCTTCACCTGCTTGGGTGTTTCATTTAAACCTAGTGGTTATCTCGATCCTGAATTTTTGGTGAACCGTAACTGCAGTAAGGCGCTTGCTACCTGAATATCCTCACCCCGATTGGAGTCAACAGTAATGGCTTCTCTATATTGTTCTACACTCACATTGTTCGTCCACAAATGGAATATGGGCTAGCCATTAGCTTGTTTTCCCACTCTCAACTGAAAAGCCTTGAAGATGTCCAGAATAAATGTATGCGAATGATTTATGGTGTACATTGATGTATTGGTTGTAGTTTTATATTTATTGTTAGTACTCGTGTAAATGTGTAAGAATAAGAGCAAAGAAGTGATGAGTCTTTGTTTTATCCTTTTACTAGAAGTGAGAGGAGGAGCTCATAGCAAAAAGAAAATAGGTTGTTTTAAAAGAGGTCGGAGTATTAATTAAGGTACATGTAATTACGTTAAATGTAGTCTCATAGGATTAATATTAGACGTGGTCAAATACCACAGTAATAATGATAATAGGGGTAGTGCTGTCAAAGGCGGTAATAGAACTTTCAATTCAAAAGCACTAATCAAACAAAAGTGGAGCAATATTCTTAATCCAAGTTACTTGACCTGTTGTCCAACTTGTCTTTTTACTTCTTTAACTCTTTCTAGACACAGCAATAACCAGAGAGCAGCCAATATGCTTGTTATTCTGTGAAAGAAGCAATAAAGATAACAGCTCTAGGATTACAAAATGAACCGACTCAACGAAGAACACTGAGATTTGGTACGAAAAGAATCCACTGCAACCTAAATTAATCCTCTCAGTATTTTTACACACTCATTTAGATTTCAAAAATGTACAATAAGCCCCACGAAAGATATTAATAGTGATCATTTCTAATGATTTAATTTTATTCTGTATTATGTTTTTAGGATATGGAATTTCTCTTATATCATAATGAAATAAAACAAACTTCATAATGCTTTACTGATTTATTTCAGTGTAAAATAAAGCATTTATAAACAGTTATTTTCTACAGTTGAGTTCATTTATATTTTAAAAGTCATCTAATATATGAATATTTATAAGCTTTCAAAAGGAGTGTATCGATTATGGTTTGTCTCATATCTACTATACCTTGAAATACTCTTGAAATCAGTACAATCGATGGCAATACCTGCAAAATATGTAGTATCCCTAATGCCTATAATAAAAAAGAGTCTAAAAAATATATTCTGACGAAGTAGTTAGGCTGGAAGCAAACTTACAGATCAAACAACATAAACCTACTCTGTGATCAAACACTACACGGGAATTAATGGATTAAGACGTGGGCTCTCTGTCGGCTATTTCGTTACCCCTTCTTCAAGCATTAGTTGTACAAATGCTTAATCAAGCACTTCAGTCACAGGTATTCTCTAAATCATGGTAGGGCTTTAGGATGCGCTTACTGGCTCGGAAAAGTGACCTTACTAGTTTGCGTAACTAGCGATCGATATCTTTAATCAACTGTGACGCTAGGATTTACACACGTATCATCGATACCCGCTTACGGGAGGTAATACTAAAGCTGATTAATCGCTTTCAGACAGGTTTTGTGCTTGCCAGATTCATTGCCGAAAATACCTTAGTGCTACAAGCTGTTGTGCAATATGCTCGTCATCACCATCGGAATGATATCGCGCTAGACCAAGCGAAAGCATATGATGGAGTACACCCTTCTTACTTACACCAGACTCTACTACAACTCGGCTTTCCTGCAGTTTTGGTACGCTCATTTATTGGTCTGTTCTTCACCAACAGACACTGTACCAATATGAATGAACACTTGATCCAAACTTTTAATCAAGGTCGTGGTCTCCTCCACGGTGATCTTGCATTTCCTTTGCTGCGCAGTCTTGCTCTAGACCCTCTGTTACACTACATTTTTCAGGATGAATCTTTTAGGCTTCTCTTTTGTCCCATTATTACTGTGTGTTCCTTCGCCAGCTCCTTTAAAGGCTTTAGCATATGCAAACAACGTGTATGTCTTCCTATGTTCTCGTACGGATTTTCTTCGGCTACAAGATTACCTGATACTTATCGAAGAGCCTCTTCTGCCAAGGTTGATTTATCTAAGATGGAGACCATCTTCTTTTGCTGCATCACCAAATCCTTCAGTATCATGATCGCGCCAAATCTCAACCACTCCGGTATTGTAGATTCCTGGTGACTCTGTCCATAACTCAAAGACGATACCTTAAGGAAAACCTGTTACAAAACATCAAAATTCAGTGTGGTATCTACTCAGAACAGTCTCCCTCCCATCGAAGTTGTGTGTGACGGCAGTAAATACACTGATCCTGTGGAAGCTATAGTACATACTACAAATCTTTGTCCTTCAGTAAGGATTTCTTTTGTCATGCTCGATCTATAGTGCATCAATTTCTTCACCAAGGCATCAAACCCAGTTTCCGCTATGCCCTTCTTTGTCACCCTGTAATACAAAATGGTCTTAACCTGTTTGATTCTCTTGTTAAACAACGTTGCTAACAACTTCGATGGTTACGTCTGTTATTTTTAGATAATAATCCTTCGACCTTGCAACCAACCTTACTTGAAAAAATTCATGCAGTACTTCCATTCCAATGGTACCAATTCGCTTCTTTCACTCTTTTTGCCATCGATGCGTAACGAGACTAAGACTTACTTTACCTGCAGTCTATGATGCTATGGATTATGTCCCTTCTTTCAATTTCATCAACATCAAAGTGACACTATCGACCCTGCTCAGTCTTTCTGTCGTGGGATTGTTCTCTATTGTTGCTGTTGAATACTGGATACATCGTAAGCGGCGCTCTTCTCTCTGCAGTCTGGTAGTGCTTCACTTTTGACGTCCTACTGCTCCCCATTGGCTCGCTTTCTTGTCCTCGGATCTCCATCAGGTTGTTACATGATGTCCAAAATCGCATGGCTTTCCTCACCGAACAAGCATGGAAGAGTATACTAAATGTATTATTCACTTCCGGCGTGGTCCGTTCGTGACATGATTCGTTAATTGGAGCAGTGGTGAACATTCCACTTTCAGGCATATTATCAAACCCAACTGGTTGTACCCCCTTAGCTGCTTTGTCCGACTCGCCTATCAACACTTTGTGAAAACATTCTGATCCTTGCTGTCTGAAGCTCGGATGATAAACCGTATTGCCAAGCGGTAGTGGCCAAATTTCGATCTGACAGCTCTACTGCCTGTACACTTTGTCAGATATCATCGGAAGGTATATATCACCTTGCTAATTGATTATCCTCTTAAATATAATGTATGGTAAGAAACTCTCGCTCGCGTTTGCTCCTTACCTGGTGTTCCGACGTTCTGATGTTTGACAATTAGTACGACACTTTTTTACAATTTATCAATAATAACCAGCTCTTAGCTTTGGTCACTTGTATGATGCTCTTTGTATAGTGAGCACATTGGACGCACATTTTTGATCGCAAAACTTTTTTTTTTGACGTTGCATATCGTCAATGCTGCGTTTGACAAGCACACTAGTTTTCAAGCACCACTTTAAGCATGCCTCTCTCTAACTCGTTTGATCCAACTTCAATTTTATTGCCTTATTTATTAATAGAAAAAACTTTACAAAAAGAAAAAAATAAAAAATATATGTTATACTAAAGTAGTCATAAATAGCTCATTACTATTCACTTTGTCTGACAAAATCTCTTTGTTTTTTTACCTTAAAAGTAGCGATTGTGTAAGCATATGTAAAAGGATAATATTCTTTTTATTATTGACTGCTTCAATTTTAATATTTTTTAACCTGGGTGCTCAGACCCACTTATTGTTTTTAAGACACATGCCTACAAGACAAAAAGAGATGAAAAATGGGGACAGGCAAAAATGACAAAGTGAATCATCTCCAATAGAAAAAAAAAGCAGCTCTAATGTATCACGTTCCCACTATCATCCCATATTTGCCCCCCCTCCTCCTCCTTCTTTTGCTTTTTTTATACTTCCGCT